AACTTTTGTTGGCTTACATATCATTGAGAAATCTTGCTTGAAACTAATTAATAGTGTAAAAAGTTGTATTCTGTTTTTATAAATAAAATAACCACAGTTCTTGGTGGTGGTCTCAACTTTTAAACTCTACCGCATGTCAACTCTATATCATAATTCATTAAATTTCAAAACTACCTCCTTTATAAAAACTCGAGGAATTGGATTAAAGGTTTCTTACTCACCCATTGAGTCCTATAAATGTTGCGATCAAGAGCCATCTATGAAAAATTACTTTGGCATAAAAGCTAAATAGTGTAGTGCAGACTACAAAAATGTGAGAAGAGCGGTGGAAAAAAATGGGTCAAGACAGAAAAATAAACTAACAGACGATTGATATTTCTCGCCGTCGGGTAGAAAATCTTGACTATTGCTAAGTGAGGATGATGGCATTTCCGATAATGGAGCAGTGTTTTCAGGAACGGTATCACTATGTGATGAATGAGCAGCAGGCTTTAAGGGTACATCAAGAGTGAGGCGGTACAATTTGACATCGAACTTGGCCTCCGCCTTCTCTGCGGCCACCGGATATGGAAATGCGCGATCTATGAGATAAGCAACGGGCGAGTCGCACTGACCAACGGAAGAGATATTTGAGGGGAAAAGAGAGAAGCGTTTAAAATGAAAATGAAAAAACTAAAGTGAATCAAATAGGTAGTTATCTTTTAATTATGTTCAATTTTTATACAAAAACAAATCTCGTAAGATGAGGAGAAAATAAAATATCTTAAAAATTAAGCAATGAAGCTGTGTCCGAAGAGAAGTCATACATAATGAAGAAAGGACTAGCTGCAACGCGAGAAATGAAAGGCCATATGAGAGTTCAAGAGTTATTTGGAGGCCATTTTGTAAAAAAATGTAAAAATCTCGTGAGCGATATGAGTTTTGAATTGGAATTTATTCATTAATAATCTTTGAGTAATGCCAATCAAAAGCACTATTAAGAATGGAAATAAAATCACTCTTAGGCTAGTCTGATATCAATAAGACAGCTAGCTAACAATGCTTAAAGACTATAGCAGGTAGTGATACATAACTTCATACTGCTAGGTATATCGATAACTATTAAGTTTGGCTGTCAGCGTGTTCCTGCTTGATTAGATAAGTGAATTCATATTAATTAACGTTGAATGGAATTCATATAGAAGAGTGGAAAAGCATGACCCTATACATTCCCAATCCTACACGGTTATATAGTGAATTTTTGTGGCAATTTTAAAGTTTAGAGTCCGCAAATGGCATACTATAAGGACCGATTGTAGTAATCTATTAAAGAATAGAAAACATATAGGATTTGTTCCCAATTATTCGCCCATTTTTCTGACAAACAACTAAATTACAAACTAACCCTCAATTCTACTAAGTGTGATAATCAATAAATCAGCGTTAATACATATTTATCGCTAAACATATCTTTTTCCATTTGCTTTGTGTCATAAGAATCATTACTAAATAGCGTTATGATAAATCTCATGATACATCATTGAGTTGAATCCTATTTAATGTGATATGAGGAGTCTTAGATCAATCAAATAAGAAGAAAGTGGATTTCCTTGACCTAGTATAGTT